ACACATGAGCATTTAAGTTGTGAACTTTCAAAGATGCAAACATACATTTGCATGTCCAATCACATAAGTTAGTTCACGTGTCTGGCATGCATTGTCACATGCTGTACTGTAAAATTGAAATTTTTTTATTTTTTGTTTTATGTATTATTTGTGTGAAAAGTATTATAGACCTATTACAGTACAGTACTATATAGCCAATTGTGTTAGTTGGGTACCTAGGCTAACTTTGTTGCACTTACAAACAAGTTGGACTTGCGAACATGCTCTCAGAATGAAACTCATTTGTATGTAGGGGACTTATACATGAATTAGCCTATTTAAATATCTCAGCAACATATGATTAAGGTACATAATATTATTATTCTCATTTAAAACATCTAGTATGCCAGGTTTATTATAGGTGCATGAATTTTAATTGTTATTATTTAATAACAGTTATTCTTTTTTGGAGTAAGCATAGCCTAAATATCATTGGTTTAAAATTTTATTACAAAGAAAATAGTTCTAGAATGTCATCACTGAAGGAAGTTAATTTGAGATTTATCTAGTGTAGTGATTTCCATATTTTTTAAGCCAGAAACTGTCATTCTAATGATCATTATGTCAAAACTATAAAAGCATAATTATTCTATTTGAATCAAGGACAGAGTACTTGAACCCTATATAACAACTCATCCATGCCTAGGACACTGAGGAATACAATTTGAAAAATCACTGATTTCATCCATTCCCAGCATGCATACCTAGATAGACAAAATGATTCATGCTGTTTATTAGCTGCAGACACCTAATTGTAAATTAGATATCCTGACTTCTAGATCCATTATTTTCTATGAGATCATAATATGTGATGTAGCATAAGTTTCAGTAAAATATGCTGATTTAAAGATGATAAAGCACCTTCATATACTTTTATCATATTTGAACCTTACAACTTTTGTGGTAGATATTATCTATTCCTCCTAGTTCACCTCAAATGCTGCATAATATATAAATAAAGTTTTTTTTTGGACATTTGGTGGAGATGGCAGTAGTGTAGGGGCCAAAAAAAAAATCAGAAACCAGAAATGTTGAAAAAGGGGTGATTCCATTGCAGTGGAGTTGGCATTTACCCTGAGTGTAATTTTTAGTCTCTGGTGGTTTAGAATCTGGCTTCCAAAGGACACTGTGTAAGCAGACACGAAACAGCCTAGGGCTGGTATGAGATGCATACATCAAGAACCTTGGAGGCGAATCTCTCCATGGGTAAAGTAGGAAAAATCCACTCTGAAAAAAGATGTGACTGTCAGTCTTGACTAGATGGAGGTCTGGAGGAGAAAAGTTTACATTCCTCAAAGCTTAGGGTTAGAATTTATTCTACCTGGGTGGCTTACTCTCATGCTCTAAAACAAAATTATTTTTCAAGTACAAGGATAGTCTAAAGATACACTTAGACAACTTAAAATTGAGCATAGTCACTATCAAAAGATACTCAGTAAAGAAACTTCTAAAGGGTATATTACAGAGAAAAATAATTATGTTGGAAAAAATGGCAGAATTTCAAGAAGAAATGTTAAGCAAAGAAAATGTCAAACATATGACTAAAAAAATATGCCCAGGAAGAATGTTTAAGACTGTTACTAGCAGCGTTGTTTATAATTCAAACTCCACAAATAGCTCAAATGTCCATACATGGTACAGGCATACCTCAGAGATGTTGCAGGTTTGGTTCCAGACCATGGCAATAAAGGAAATACCACAATAAAGTGAATGAGATCTTTTGGTTTTCTAGTGCATATAACAGATATGTTTACTTTTAAGTTGTCTGGTAAGTATGCAATAGTATCATCTGTAAAAAGGTGTATATACCTTAATTAAAAAATATTTATGGCTAAAATATGTTAACAATCTTGCCTCAGTGTTGACAGCTGCTGTCTGATCAGGGTGGTGGTTGCTGAAGGTTGAGATGGCTGTGGCAATTTCTTAAAATCAGACAATAAAGTATGACACATGGTTGGACTCCTCCTTGCATGGAAAATTTCTCTGTTGCATGTGATGTTGTTTGATAGCATTGTAACCACAGTAGAAAGTCTTTCAAAATTAGAGTTGATCCTCTTAAACCCTCCTGCTGCTTTGCCAACTAAGTTTATGTAATACTGTAAATCTTTTGTTGTCATTTCAACAATGTTGACAGAATCTTTACCCTGAGTAGTTTCCATCATGAGTAATCACTTTCTTTGCTCATCTGTAAGAAACAACTCCTTATTTATCTTTATTTTTATTTTATTTGTTCAAGTTTTATCATGAAATTGCAGCCTTTTGGTCAAATTTTCAGGATTCATCTCTAATTTTAGTTCTCTTGCTGTTTTTACCACATCTTCAGTTACTTCTTTCACTGGTGTCTTGAATCCCTCAAAGGCATATGTGAGAGTTGGAATCAATTTTTTCCAAACTCCTGTTAATATTGATATTTTGTCCTCCTTTCATGAATCACAAATGTTTTAAATGATATCTAGAATGGTGAATCTTTTTCAGAAGTTTTCAATTTACTTTGCCCAGATATAGCTGAGGAATCACTGTGTATGGCAACAATAGCCTTACAAATGTACTTCTGAAATAAGAAAACCTGAAAATTGAAGTTATTCCTTGATCCATGGGCTGAAGAATGGATGTTGTGTTAGCAACCATGAAAACAACATTAATCTTTTTGTGTATCTCCACCAGAACTTGTGGGTGACTAGGTGCATTGCCAATGAGCAATAATATTTTGAAAGACATTTTTTTCTGAGGAGTAGGTCTCAACAGTGGGCTTAAAATATTCAGTTAAACATGCTGTATACATATGTGCTGTCATCCAGGTCTTGTTCCATTTATAGAGCACAGGCAGAGTAGATTTAGCATAATTCGTAAGAACTTTAGGGGTTTCTGGAATAGTAAATAAGCACTGGCTTCAACTTCAAGTCACCAGCTGCATTATGCATTAGCCCCTAACAAGAGAGTCGGCCTGTCCTTTGAAGCCGTGAAATCAGGCATTGACTTTTCCTTTCTAGCTATGAAAGTCCTAGATGGCATCCTTTTCCAAGAGAAGGCTTTTTCATCTACATTGGAAATCTGTTGTTTAGTGTAGGCACTTTATCAATGATCTTAGATAGATATTCTGAATAACTTGCTGCTGCTTCTATGGAGCTTCACCTTGCTCTATTGTGGTTTCTTTTCTTAAATCTCAACTTCCAACTTTTCTTCTGCAGTTTTCTCACCTTTCTGAGCCTTCATAGAATTAAAGAGAGTTAGAGCGTTACTCTGGATTAGGCTTTGGCTGAAGGGAATGTTGTGGCTGGCTTGATCTTCTCTCCAAACCACCAGAACTTTCTCATATCAGCAATAAGGCTATTTTGCTGTTTATCATTCATGTGTTCACTGGAGTAGCACTTTTAATTCCCCTTAAGAACTTTTCCTTTGCATTTACCACTTGACTGTTAGGCACAAGAGGCCTGGTTTCTGTCCTAGCTCAGCTTTGGACATGTCCTCCTCACTAAGCTTAATCATGGCTAGCTTTTGACAGCGAGTAAGAGATGTGTGACTTTTTCCTTGATTTGAACACATAGAGATCATGGTAGGGAGTCCTTTTTTCTTGAGTCAGAGTCTCACTCTGTTGCCTAGGCTGTAGTGCACACTCACAACCACCACAGCCTCAACCTGCTGGGCTCAGGTGATCCTTTCACCTCAGCCTTCCAAGTCGCTGGAACTATAGGCATGCCCTACCACACTGGACTTAATTTTTGATTTATTGTAGAGACAAGGTCTCATCAAGTTACCCAGGCTGGTCTTGAACCCCTGAGCTCAGACAATCCTCTTACCTTGGCCTCCCAATGTACTGGGATTATAGTCATGAGCCACCACGTCCAGCCTATGGTATGGTTCTTAATTGGCCTAATTTTAATATTGTTGTGTCTCAGGAAATAGGGAGGCCAAAAGATGGGGACAAGAGAATAGCTGGTTGATGGAAAAGTCAGAACACACACATTTATTGATTACATCTGCTGTCTTATATAGACATGGTTCATGGCACCCCCAAACAATTATAATAGTAACATCAAAGATCACAACAGATATAATAATGAAAAAGTTGGAAATATTGTGAGAATTATTACAACATGGCACATAGACACAAACTGAATGCATGCTGTTAGAAGTATTATGCCAATAGATGCCCAATATACGATTGCCACAAGCCTTCAAGTTGTAAAAAATGTGATATACGTGAAGTACAGTAAAGTGTAGCACAATAAAATGAAGTATGTCTGCACATTGAATAAAATGAACTGTGGAATATTCATACTGTGAAATATTATAAAACATCAACAAATGAATGATTGAACTATAGCTACAGGCATTTACATGGGTGAACACAAAAAAGCATAGAAAATATGTACAGTACAATTTCATTTATGTGATGTTCAAAATTGGCAGCACTAAATGATATATTGTTTAGGAATAAGCACAAATATATAGTAAGGCTATAAAAATATGCAAGGGAGTGATTACCCCAAGATTGAGGATAGTTATTATCTCTAGTGGCTGGAAGGGAGATTCATTGGGGAAGTATAATCAAAGAGTACTAATGATATGGCTATATTATTTTATTTTATATACTCACATATATTAATTTTATATGCACTTTTCCATGTATTATAAATTTTACAAGAAATCAGTTATAAAAAATGTAGTAATGTTAAAACGGTAGTAAGAAGAGGATTCAGGATCAGTATGGATAAAAACCTTCAGGCAGGAATAGTCTTAGCAAATTTGAGTATGACGGGGGAAAAAGAAGACTTTTAATCTTAAGACAGCCCAAAGTTTCCTATCCTTATTCTCCTACCTTTTATTCAGCCTATCCCTACATTTTGTCAAAATATCTTTTCCTTTGCAGTGATATATAATAAAATATGTTTTATACTTTATTATTTGAGGGTCATTAATTTTTTCCTTTTCTGATGTATAATTTTATTTGCTTCTTCTAGGTCATAACTTTTGTGCAGAAGGACCTAAATGTGGTGAAAACTCAGAGTGCAAAAACTGGAATACAAAAGCTACCTGCGAGTGCAAGAGTGGTTACATCTCTGTCCAGGGAGACTCTGCCTACTGTGAAGGTAAGCAAGCTATTTAATGAAATCATTTGTGAGAGACTGACTGCGAAATGTTTTGCTAGTAGGTGTAGTTAAAGAGTGAAAGCGATCACTTGGCTCTGGCGCTTCAGGAGCCTATAAGAAGTCATATCATTTACCTACAGTGTTCTGTTCTCCTGGTTTATCCATGCTACTAGGTAGCATGAGAAAACAGGACCTGTGAAGGTAGTTATGAAATACAGCAAAGAAATAAAAGCAACAGAGATGTATCATATTTTGTTCTAACTATACATAATAATCACTGGAATAACCATAAGCACATCATATTTTCTTTTCTAATTGGAGGATATTGTCATTTCCATGTTCGATGAAATGCTATATGATGTTATATATTAAATGATACATGTTAAAAGTTATATATTTTTTCAAATGACACTTTGACATTAGCTTTTTTTTCCCCCCAGTTGCCATCTCCTTTACCTGCCAAAGTCAGATTTTTTTTTTAGTTGGGTTTCTTAAAGATTGGCTAATGCATTGCCAATTCCTAAGCTCCACTAAAAGCCACAGTGATCGAGGGAGTTGTAACTTCAAGACATGGACACCTGTTCATCTCGGAGGAACAACTCCTCCATCTTATGTGAGCACCTCTTTCTAAGCTCAGCACTCCAACCTGCTAGTGGTGAGCATTGCACACTCCTATTACTCTGCATGCCAGAAGAGTGGGAGTTAGTTCTGACCTGGTCTATATGTATAGTACCTAATATCTGAGTTCATTCATTCCTAAGGTGCACCATGGCTTCTTTTCATCAGTCTGCAGAAGTTCTGGGCAAAGTGATGGCTGCGTTGTTTTTCTGTTTGTCCTGGTTCCAGTCATTCCAATTATTCTTGCCATCTTCACTAATAATATATTGCACCATGGTGATCTCTTGATCAGGAAGGTAGTTGTCTTGAATAAAAGCTGCAAAATCCTGGTCACTCTCTTGTAAGTGATTTGGTTCTTAAATGGATCGGGTGTTCTCAAAGTAAAAATGATATTAACTGATGATAGTAATAGTAAATTTCTTTCCATTCTGCTATTTTACAGTTGACCCTTGAACAACACAGGTTAGAATTGCGTGGTTCCACTTATACATGGAGTTTTTGAACCAGATGCAGATTGAAAATATGGTATTCACAGTCAGCAAAACTTATTTATATGGAGGGCTGATTTTTTCTATAGAGTGGGTTCTGTAGGGCGGATTGTGGGAGTTGAGTATGTGTGAATTTGGGGATAAACAGGGGCTCTAGGACAAATCTCCTGCATATACCCAAGGACAACTGTATATTGCTAACCTCTGATTCACTTTTTGGCTTTGACTAAAGAACTCTAGTTGCTAAGAGAATGTATTTAATTACCATTAGTGATCAGTACCTTGTAGGTAGCATCTGTTTTTTTCATTTCTTCTGGATGACTTTCTTCATTACTACCGTGGTTCTCATTAGCAATATGTTCTAATTATTTTTTTCTTCTCCTTTTTTTCACTTTCTTTTTGTTTGCTTTATGTATTTGGACTTGATTAGGGAGATCTACCACTTGGGAGATAGAAGCTGCCCCATTGGTTTTGAACCTTTTTATTTAATTTCATTAAGGTGATATTTAATATCATCTTAGTTATTTGCTAATTTTGGGGAAGGGGATTATTAATTTAAATCTTTTACATAAATATATATATTTTTAGATCTTACCTTATGCTATTTTCTATTGGAAAATTAAAGTTTTTTAAAAAATTAAAGATGTTAATTTCCCTCTATTCACCTTGGAAAAATTCTACAAACCAGGTAATAGTCTAAAAGTTTACCTTTTTACCTTTCCCTATGTATAGGGATAGACTCTGAACATTTATAAAATGATGGAAGGAACCTCAAAAACAATTTGAATTCTAATTACACCACTGGCAGGCCTTTGAGTTGCCCATTGGAATCAGTACAACCATGATTCCTGGCCCTGTTGTCTGTTGAGACCTGGCAGAAAATTGCTGGTGCTCATATTGTTTGGGATTCTGAATCTCTCCTCATTGATACCATTTTTATTACATAGGATTAGCTCCATGAGGAGCCATCTGTGATATTAACCTGCTCATTCTGTATGAGGCTTTAATTTATTGATTATGTTGAGTAATTTTGGGTCTGAATCACTGTTTTCTTGGATGTGCTCCTGCTTAGCTCAGTGTGCCAGCCTGGCCTTGGTCACTTTTCATTACGGTGCTCTCCTTGAGTCATGGTGATATACGTGGGTTTTAGTTATTTCTTCATTAGCATGAAGACTTAACACAAACTCCTGGAGTCATGTTCATGGAGAGGATGATGGCACCTAAGGAGAAATGACTAAACACTGGAGCCCTCCTAGTATGTAAGAATAGAGCACAGGGGTTAAAGTGGAAGTCAGATACTAGTCATCTGGATGGTAGGCACTGAGAACCAAGTAGAGCAAATTCCAACATTTAGAGATCTGTCTTTGTCTCATTCCATTCTGCCATCTTTGGCATTTGAAATTTGAGTTTCGGACTTAACGTTTCTGTGATTGCAAACTGCCATAGCTCCAACCATGGTATCCTCACTGGCTTTCAAAGCAAGGAAAGGAGGAAGGGGCAGGGCTAAAAACCTTTTCTGTGTGAGGTTCTGTCTTTGATTTTTCCTTTTTTTTGTCAGTACAGTTTTATTTTTTATTAACTTAGATTCAAGAGGTACATGTGCAGGTGTGTTACATGGGTATATTGCATAATAGTGAGATTTGGGCTTCTATTAAGCCTGTCACCCAAATGGTGAGCATGGTCCCCGATGGGTAGTCTTCCAACCCTTGCACCTCCTACCTCCTTTTCATTTTAGGAGTCATTTTATGATCAAAGAAAGTTCTTTCTACAAGGTCTTCTCCCTACCCTGTCCCTACCACCATCATTGCCACATGCAGAAGGCTTTCCCTGTCTTTTTTCAGGCCTCCCTGCTCGCTGTACATGCACTCCTATAACAATGTTTGAGAAAAAGAGATTAGATGACCATCAGTGGTTTGGGCTAATTTTGTTCATTTCTCAGAGCTTGGGAGGGATTTGCCTTCCTTGAAGCCAGATGATCTTTGCCCTTTACCTGAACCAAATAGAGTAGTAGCAACAGCAAGAGGGTGAGGGTGGGGAAATAAAACAAAACAAGACAAATAAAGTCTGTCCTATTCTTTTATGTTTAAATTTAGTTCATGGCCATTTTTCTAGCTCTCTCCAAAGAGTTGCCCTCTGAGGTGATCTGATCGACAAACTTAGAGGTAGCCAAGGACCCTCTGGGTACCAGAGACTCTTAGAGGCTGGGTTCATTGTCTTGCCACAGAAAAGAGAAAACTAGATACTTATGAACTGCTTCAGGCAAGTTATTTTTACCCTGAGTAAATGGAATGAAAATGACCCATATTGTAAAAGTCACTATGAACAAGAGTGGCTTGCAAATTAAAACAAAATATTACATGCATTGTCCAAGCCATCTTGAAAAGCCTATTCAGGCTCTCAGTGGAAAAAGAAGCACAAAAGGCTTTCAATTTTCTTAACTTCCTAGGGTAGTAGCAGAGATAGGGTGTATTAAGGACTCCTGCTCTTTAGAGATTGTTGTAGAAACTGCCACAGAGAAGATATCGGAACTCCTAGCCAATCAATAGAAGATAATAAGACCTTTTGTCAGCCATGATAAGATTCACAGGAGGTTGTTTCATTTCGCCTCATCCAGCTCAAGCAGGAGCACTTTCCGTTTTGAAAACTGCTTTAGTGGGATTTTAGTGTTTTATGAATCTGGTCCGCTGAGGTTTTTTTCCCTTTGTGATGGCATTTTTAATGTGTTCGTCATAAGTAGTTTTTGGTACATTTGTTTAAATTAGAAATAGTGTCTGAGGAAAATATAGCTATAGGGGTCCGACTCATGATCTTACTTCTTGAATTTGGAGTTTATACAGATAGAGTCTCATAAACTTTTTCTTCTTGTAGTAAAAAGCTTATTTCAGAGGATAAAGAACAATGTGATATTATATACATTATGCCATCTGTCAGGTATGAAAAGTTCTAAAGTTTGCATTAAATGATAATACCTTTCACTTGCACAGTGGTCTGAATTTTTCAAACTTCTCTTATATATGTCACACTTTTTGAGTCTCACAATAAATCTGTAAGGAAAGTGGCAGCACTGGCCACGTTAACGTCAGCTGGCAAGCTCAGACACTAAGACTTATTGTTCATTGAAGTAATGATAATAAATAAAATAACAGTAATATTCAATTCATCTCTATGCCAGTGTTCTATGCCTGACTTGTGTTGCTCCTTCCCCTCCCACCACCAACACCGTTCCACTGTTGTATTGTTCAAAATGCCTGCTACCTTCTTGATCCCGCTGACATCAGGTTTGGCTAATGAAATGTTGAGTGGACATGACATGTGCCATTTCAGAATAGAAGCTTGAAGAGCTTTTGTAAAATTGCACCTCGTTCTCTTTTCTCTCTACACAAAAACTGGCAATGTTCCAGGCCAGGGCTTCTTCTTTAGCTGGGGTCCCAAAATAAAGATGACATGGAGCAGTATGACAACTGACAGGTGATGGATATGTGGCATGAGTGAGAAATAATCTTACATACCACTGAAACTTGTAGGATTTGGGGGTGGGAGAATGATGTTACCTTTGCCTGACAGGGTAAGCCTACTGATATATCTACCTGAAATAACTGATCTAAATTTTGTGGGTTCAGAGGGAAACTTCTAGCTCAGTGCCTACACTGAAAGCAATTTTTAATAAGAGTAAGCCCTGGGCATTATCAGAAAAAGTAAAAATTGTTTTGGGTCATCGGTAGTTTGCTGTGGCCCTGCTACCAGGTGATAAATTTTTTTGCAGACCACAAGCTATAAATTAGTGTTTTATTGTGTCAAATCAACATGGTAAAATGGATTTCCTAATTAAGATGCTAACAAGACAAGGCATGTCAGAAATTTAGCAAATTGTCTGGTATTCACTAAATATTTAAT